AGATAGATAGATAGATAGATAGATAGATAGATAGATAGATAGATAGATAGATAGATAGATAGATAGATAGATAGATAGATAGATAGATAGATACTTTATTAATCCCAAAGGAAACTTTGAGGCATCCAGTATCATGTTCCAGTTGTACAGAAAAAAAAAAATCACACATGAAATAATTTAAAATAAAGCAGAATACACAAATTTGGAAAAAGACAATATGCACACGCACAAGGTGGTAGGGAGTACTACAGTACATTCTGAAGGTCTTTCAAGGATATTTGATTTTTGACTGCTTCATTTGCTCATTTTTAGTCTGGTCAGAAATAAAAATATAGGATTCTAAAGCCAAGGCATGGATCAGTGTTTTATTGACACCTAACAGAACTAAATTTAAATTGAATATTAAGGCACTATTTTGACCAGAAGTTTGTTACAAATATAGTTTATTACAATTTTTTAACTTGAAATAATTAAAACAGACTAAGATAACTCAGTTTGACACATGTAATTGTATTTTGCACCACCAAAATGATTAATAAATAAACATTAGCTGAAAACTTGACATACAACAGATGATCAACTCCTGCGTCTTTGTGGCTTTTTTACTGTTTACACCAGGGACTTGTTTCTTTGTCCTCCAATTATGCGCATTCCTCATTTTTTAAAGATCACACAGCAGAATGTGTTGTGATGGTCAGGTACAAGGAATTTGTTTCTTTAAACTTTGGCTGCTTTTTCATTCATTTTCAAACCTCTTTACAAAACCTGAAGAACTACTGATCGAGAACACTTGGCTGATGATGATGGGCGGCTAAATGTAAATAAAGTAGGGTTGGTTTAAAACTTTTTCACAGTACTCTAAACTGGAGAGGACATCTTGGATTTTTGACTTGGAAAACCAATTTTTGATAGGGACCTTTTTAACACCTAGATGCAGCCACAGACCAAAACAGAAGTTGCTTATTTTTCAAGTTACCCAGCTGACAAGTTTAACTGACTAAACTGACATGTCATCTGGCACCTTAAGAAAAAACACGAGTTTCATTCATTTCCTCTTTAATGAGCATCTTGCAAATCCAGTCAACTCCCACAGAAGATTTTTTCCCATTATTTTGTAACTCCTAAACATAATTTTACTTTATCTAACAAATGCATTATTATGTTCGTCTTTTATTTTATAGTTAGCTGATTAATTTTAGTTAGCTGCTGATTATGATGCTAATTATCCATGCTGCTGATCATCTCATGCTGCTGATCATCTCATGCTGCTGTATTCATTCGTACCCATCTGCTCACCACAGACTGAAGTTAGGGCTTCTGTTGATATGCCGTATTGTTTTAGCTTACCATTTGGCGTTCATTTAGCGTTTAGATCCTTATATTCTATAGTTTCATTTTTACAAATTTTTGCTATTTTTGGGTGTAACTGGGACCCTGAGTACATAATTTTGTTCTACCTCATGTACCACATGTGATGTGAATGACAATAAATTTGACTTGAACTTGAACACAGCTGCTGGAAACAGGTAAAATGACTCATTTGGACAGGCCAGACAACAGAACAATCAGCTGAAATAGATTTAGAAGAGCCGAGTTATAGTACAAAACTGGCTGCTGGTTCTATTTTTAACCAGGCAAATCTCATTGAGATCACAGATCTCTTTTGGAAGGGAGGCCTGAGTCTGAACGCAGACTAACATGCATGTTTTTGGTCTGTGGGAGGAAACTGGTGTACCCGGAGAAAACCCACGCAAGCACAAGAAGAACATGCAAACTCCACACTGAAAGACCCCGGATCCAACCGGGGATTAAACCCAGGACCTTCTTGCTGTGAGGCAACAGTGCTAACCACTGAGGCGCCGTGCTGCCAGTGTGGCTTCTATGAGGCTTCATCACTTTGAGTGGAACCCTCATTACACAGATATTCAACCTACTGTTTAGCTGTAAACATTTAGTGAAGCTTTTATAACAAGACACACAGAAGACGCATGTGCATGTGAAACCCTGAAATCTGGCATTTTTCATGGTGGTGGTCTGGGGAAACCCCTCCAAAAGCCCAGCAGCTCAGAGTCTGTTGGCCGGAGCTTCCATTATGCCACGCGAGCACAAAGAATATCTATTCTGCTGCGACTGGGCGGCTCTGCCAACAGCAGCAGCAGCTAAAGAGAGGGAAGGGAAGCCTGCCTACAGCCCAAGACCCAAAATAGACGCTGCATATAAAAATCAGGCAACAAATTTAAGTCTCGTCTATAAAAACATGTTTATGTACAACCTAGATGTTTACCAAAAGACTATTTGTGGACAGAGTGGACCGCAGATCTTTTCTATCCGAGCGAATTGTCCTCCATGAAAAAACTCCTCCCCTCCTCTCGGTTCATGTAGAACCCACTTTCAGTTGTAAGCGTTCAGTCTGTGCTGGCTGTGTTTAATTACAGGATGTAAACCACATCTACAATACTCCCTGTTGTATGACAGAACAAATCATAAACTGTTACACAACTGCAAAATAGCTTAAATGGTGAGATTATGCTGCAATCAGGAGCTGGCTGCAGCTGAAATGTCATGTTTTACTTCTCAACACTAAAAATATGCACACACATCTCAGGAAAACAGGGAAGAAAAACACGGCAGAAGTTGTAGCTCACCTCATGGAGCTAAACGTCAGCAGAATCTAGTTTTAACGGGGGCCACATTTAAATAGAGGACTATGTATATATCAAATAAACTTTATTGGACTGCAAACTGATGAGCACACCTTTCTAGAGAAACCACATAACTTTACCATGTTGTTCAAATGACACCATATGTGGAAAACCAGGTGACCGCATGAACATGTTGAAAATGTTCCAAAACCACACGTTTCACATGGTAATTTAACCATTTTATCAAATGAGAATGGGATTTTTCGCATGCAAACTTTATGCGTTTTTCACTGTAATGGAAATGCTGAGTAGAATTTCATTGCAGGCTTCCGTTGCTTTCTTAATTGAGACATTTATGTCTTGTCGGAAATTCTAGTTTCTTTCCAGAAGTTTGCCGGAAAGTGAAAACCATAGAAATCAATTTTCATTACGTCAAAGCACCCAGAAGGAGGCAGTCCAGCTTGAGTTCACTGAGGGACGTAAACAGATGTTCCACAGACTTTTGCTGCCACAAGAATCTACTGCCGTATGTCTGTTACTAAGGAGAAATGTTCAGGACCGTTAAACTACATTCACTCGTCTTTATCAAAGGATCAATGAGACCAGACAGCACAGAAACTGGCACACAGTCATGATTTAAAGTCTTGGCTGAAAGAAGATGGGGATGATGGGTCAGTCAAGAGGGAAAGCACTCGGCTGTGCTGTTTCAAATATTTGGAGAAAATGAAGGAGCTCATCAAGAGGTGGAATCGCATAAGGAAGAAAGGACTCAGAAGGTTCAGAAAGAAAGCCAACGCTTGGTGCAAGTAAAAGTAGGACTGAAGGAAGCCATAAAATGCTCAGGAGGAGGAAAGAGTAACATGGTTTAATGTAGACAGACAAGGGCAAACAGAGGAACTGTGAACTTTATATGGAGGAAAAAGACTTCTTTGGTGTGTTTAATGTGTGGCTAAAAAATAAATGAGTGATAATCAGTGCCTTAAAAAACTGGTTCACTCTCGATCTTGTGCACATAAACACTTTAAAGTGTCCTTTAAAGTGGAGTTCTGTGGAAAGGTTACGGACAACTAATATCTAACCTGTTGTAGATAACTCCCTGTACACGCGTACCTCTGCAGGGCGTGTCCGCACAAAGCTAAAGTTTTACGACCATGTATGTGGTGTCGCACAATAAACTGCCCGGCGACGGACTGTTTTGTATGCAACACCAATGTATTAAATTCCCCTTCTTCATCTCTGATCTGGCCTTTTCTTTTGTTTTATTTTTTTGCCAAGAGGCAAGTGATCTCTTCCTCCTCGTTCGTTGACACCATGACTGAAATGGTGAGAAATGAAGGAATTTGTCACAGCCCACGGGCGAATTAAAATCACGTCCAGCGTGGCTGCGGGAGGATCTGGAGATTTCCTGGTGGGCTGGTCTGATGTGTGGGCTGCACACATTTTTTTTAGAACTTTTTATTAACAACATATAAACACAGAACACCACTACGGCTGGGGCTGCCAGCTCTCTCTCTCTTTTTTTTTTTTTCCTGACCTGTCAATCAATCCAGTAGACGTGTCAGCAAATGGCCAATCAGCGACCTCAATTTGTCCCTAAGGTCAACTCCCCTCGTCTGCGGAGCTGCTCTGCAGCCGCTCAGGGTGGATGCTTGAGTATGAAGTCTCAACCCTCTGCGCACAGTGCGCATAGTTTCCACGCGGCTGACAGGACGTGGGAGTGTACTGGAGCCTTTGGTTTGCAGAAACTGAGTTAATTTTGAATAAACTGAAAAGCTCATAGCTAGTTTGGGCAAAGCCAAGACCAAAGTGGACTGATCCATCCATCTTTAAACACTTCTTGTTGCAGAAATGACAGGTCCAGGTCAAAGTGGACTGATGCCATCTTAAAGCAACACCAATCTCTAAAAATTCATGGCGGTTGAGACAAATGTTATATTTTAAATCTTTACACCTTCATCAATTCTTCACTTTGGTTATTTTAGTGCTGGAACGGCCCCAGGCTGCACGGGAAATGCTACAACTAGCTGCTGCCGTTTGTACTTGCAAATAACCCCCGTCATCTATGTAAATAGCTACTGCAAAAAAATTGCAACAATGTGCTGGTTTACAAAATACTATTTGCATGAAATGAAACATTTTAACATAGACGTTTTGAGACAGCAGTACTCTACTTGGTTTCGCCCAAGCTAGCCGTCAGCTCATGACTAACTCATCAATCTGGTCAAAATTTAACTATTTCTCCAAACTGTGGTCATTCAAAGAGACATCTACAAACAGTAGATATTAATTATTCATAGAATTTCCACAAAACACATTTTAAAACATCTAAACTATCTTTTAAATGTAAAGAACGAACATATAAACCCAAACCCGACTCAAAATATCTATGTTCTCATCAATATTTTTCTTTGAACGGAATATTAAAATAGAAAATTTCATAACTTTTCACCACTCGTGTACTTTATTTCCTTTCTTACTTGTTGATTCTGATCTGTTTATGCCGTTGCTTCACAGTGATCATAGTTTTATGTATTCAGCTGCTGGGGAAACCTGTAGCTCAAATCACACAAAACCTGCCGAAGCAGACAGTTATCCAGTCGAGACACTGGACTGGATCACTCAAACATAAAAAACCCAACACAAATACATGAATTTGTACAAGTCTGAATACAAACACTTACTTCCATTGGTTTGTTTGCAGATTGCTTCAAACTAATCCTCTGTTTGCACAGTCACTTGCAGCATTGTAACTAAAAATAGATATCACCGTACGTCTCAGAAAGGGAATCTAAAGAAAGAAATATTTGGGTTTTTCACATTTCTTTAACTCAAAAGAAAATTAAAATCATTTGTATTTGTTAAGAAGAAGTATACTGCCTGTTTGTGTGTTGCGATGTGTTATTCACAACAAAAACCTTTAACACCAACAGTTCATGCAAGAGCTTGGTTTAAAACGTAGTAATGCAAGGTAGCAGGTGATGTGTGTTATGGTGCCAACTCCCAGCTGTGGTACAAATTAAACTGGAGAAATAAAGAGAAGTTCATTGAGACTCAGGCAAATTTGTTGTGGGACTATTTTAGTTTATCAGATGCTGCAATGCTTATTTGACTAAAATGTAATTTTTATCTATATTTTTAACAAATACAGTTAGTTGTTTTACTCTAGAACAAGAAATGAATGTTAATTTAGTTTTTATGACTATCTTGACTAGGGCAGCACGGTGGCGCAGTTGGTAGAGCTGCCGCCTCCCAGTGAGCTGGTTGCCCTGGTTCAAATCCTGGTTGGGGGACCTTTCTGGATGGAGTTTGCATGTTCTGCATGGGGTGCTTCCCCTGAAAATTTTTAATAAAGTAGATGCAATTTCCTGCATTTTGGTGCATTTTAATGGGTTGTTAAACATATACGTTTACCTACATTTGTAAATACTCTGCTTCTGTCAGGCTCCCCCCACGCCCGACTTACTTGACGGTTCCGTGAAGTAAGTCGGGCTCGGTTCCGAGCCTGACTTTGTCCCTGCTCGTTGTTGTCTGACTCCACATGTGAAACCTCCTGGCGCATGCCCTGCTGCTGCCTGTGGGCTCCAGCCCACGTACGACTGCCTGTTCAGCACTTCACTCTTTATGGGGCGGAGATTTCTCTAAGGGTAGATGCGGAAATGCTTCACGTGAAGAGGCACATCGTATGCTGTTGTGTTAAAAATGAGTGTTCATGTAATTATTTTCAGTTTACATATACAATATAAGTTTTATTCCTTCAAGGCAGTCATATTTGTCCATAACTTTATTCTTAGTAAGCCTGAGAGTTACCGGATCCAAGCCGGAGCCTAGCAAACAGTTACCGGAAGCACCCTGTCAAAATAAGAGTTCTCAGATTCTGTACTGGCAGGATCCGGCTCAAATTAAGCCCCACATTTACAAAGTAGGTGTTCATTATTAAAATACCACTGTATCGAAACCTAACTGAAGTTTTCCATTTCTATATTTTCAATTTGTCTATTTTCAGTTTGGTTTAATTAAAATTACTACCTTTTGTTTTGGCTCCAACAAACTCTGCCCCCTACCCCACCAACCTTCACCACACCACTATACATATACCCGCAATGACTTACAGACACCATCAATGCTAGACTGCCATCTCTGCAAATGAACACATTAACCACAGACGTTCGTGCCAGCAGCAAGAAGAAAAAATGCTTGGCTACAGGTACAAATAAAGTCCCTCTGGGCCCTACTGACTTCCATCTGCTACTCTTAACCCTCAATGCACTTTTGTTGCCTCTCCATAGTCTCCATTTTGTTGTCAACATGCAGAAGAACTTGTCTAACGAGGCACAGCCATAATTCAAAAACTCTGAAGAAAATAAAAATGAAACAGTCTCAAACTTGCAGCTCTTACCCTCCTTCGAAGATACGAACTCGAGGAGGCTCGCCTTGTTTGGAGGTGGAAGGACCTTCCTCTTCTCCAACATCTTTTGGTTCCTCCTTATCATGCTTATCCTCGTCCTTTACTTCAGGAGGGGTGCTGGGTGGGGTGGCATGTACCTACACTCAAGACAAAGTCAGAACAACTTAAAATACAATGTTAAGAATTATTGTAAAGACAGATAGTGAATGACTTCACACTGTTTCTCCAACACAAATGGTAGATGCCCATATTGTAATTATTTTAACAAGGACTTTAATACAGTACAAATGTGCAGGACAGCAATGCAGTTATTTGCTAAAAGAAACATATGTTGTGCTTATGAGTACCTCTGATATATGTGGTGTCCCTGTAGTTGCAAGGGCCTGTTTCTCTCTGGCGGGTGTTGGGGCAGAGGCCATGGTGTATGTCTCAGAGCTGTGCTTTTGTTTAGAGCACAGTAGAGAGAGGGCCACCTTAGTGCTGAGGCCTGGCAAGTTGGGGTTGTGAGCACTGATGCTCCACGTGGAATAAACAGAGTTATGAGGATCTTCGTGAGCAGATGGGTTGGGCTTAACATAATTAAGGTAGCACCAGTTGACTGAGGTGGAGGTGCGAAGGCTGGGGTATGTAGACGTGCTTGGCCTTGCAACACCCACATCTGCAGTAGACACCTCTTTCTTTGTATGACCTGTCATTTCATTTGATTTCTTATCTCCCTCCTTTTCTTTGTCATTTTTGCTTTGGTCTCCTAATTTTAAAGATGCCACATCTACCCTGTCTGGTTGATTCTTCTCTCTTACTTCTAGTGTTTTCTCACTGGCTTTACTTTCTTCTTTTTGTATTACCTTTGGCTTTACATCCACTTCCTCTCCTCTCTTATATTGCTCCTCCTCTTCCTCTTCTTTGACCCTTTTCTGGTGACGCTGAGCCTCAGTACTGAGCTCCAGACTGGCCGCAGGAGAAAGCATGCGTTTGCTACCTCCTGGCCCCAGTGGTCCATATCCCTCCTCAGGACCTGAGGCTAGTTCCTTTGGCATAGACAGTGGAAGAAGGCTCTTGATGTCTGTTGAAGGGACCTTCAGGTAATTTCCATGCAGCTTTTCCTGTCCCATGGCCGATTGGCTCATGATGATCATAGCTGTGCAAGAGGTTGACTCCTGTGAGTGTGTGGAAGCCAAAATCTGGGACAGGGTGGTGTACATGGCACTGGCAAAGGTAGGTCTATGAGTCTGGAGGCGCACTGGTACTACAAGGGACACTACTGGAGTAAGCTGTGCCAAGCATGTGGCAATGACTGGCTGTTGTTGTTGGTATGAGATGGTTACAAGGGACTGTTGCCTAAGGGAAGAGGGCATGGAAGAAACAGGCAGTCTGTTCCTTGTGTTAGATTGGGAAGGAACATATGTGGTAAGCCTGGAAGGTACAGGAAAATACAGGGCATTGCTTACTCTAGTCCTAGAGATTGGGAGAGGAACTAAGGGTGGGAGCTGATGCAGTGGTATTCTCAACTGTTCTGGCATGTGGATCTGAGTTGGATATGTATGAACAGGGGGAGAGCCTGTGTGTGAATGTAAGAAAGTTCTGTGGATAATTTGGGTGGACAGTACTTCAGGTATGGCTGATGTGACAGGGAGCAGCTGCGATATTGATTCTCTTGGGAAAGTGTGCTGTCCGCTGGGCTGCAAAGGGAGCATGTCTTGGGAGGGTGGAAAGATGTGTGGTTGTAATAGCTGCAAGGCCTTTCCTGGAGCTTCAGGGTACAAGTAGGAGCTTGCTTCAGTAGAGTAGAGTGAAAGATGGTCAGAGTGTGAAGGACCTGGTTTTGGACATTCAGTTCTGGATAACTGACAAATAGTTCCCCCAATCTCCTGCTCGGGTTCACCTAAAGTGGCTTGCTTTACAAGAAGAAATTTTCTTCTTTCTTTCCAAGAGGATGTGGACTGCTGAGATGACAAGGATCCATAATCAAAGGACTTACTTCTAATCTCTGAGTTCTGTTCTGTTTGCTGTGGGCTAGCTGGGGCCTGCTCTGAGGCAGAACGCCTCATCTCCTTGTGGCCTTGGTGGTGTTGGTGAGAAACAGATGGTACTGTCAACATCTGAGAGCTTTGGCTGTCTGAGGCCCACACAGCCAGTTCGGGTCGGACTGTGTCCTCAAAAGAAGTTGAAAGGCTTGAAATGTTGCTTTCTTGACTGGGGCTGCGAGGCAGAGACAAAGATTCAAAGCTAGACTCCCCAGAGGACTGAGAAGCTTCTGCTAAGCGGAGTCTTTTCTTCTTTGGTGGCAGCTTCTCTGCAGGTAGCTGGGCCAGAGTCTGGCTACGCTGAGGCCACTGGAACTCCTCGACTCTCTCTGGCTCCTAAGACAAAATTTAGCTTAGCTTAAATTCTTGAGTAAAAACAACAAGGACACAAAGAACTCAACTGATCAAAAATTTAATTTAAAGTAAAATATATTAAAATACAAGGATGTAAAGACACACACACACACACATATATATATATATATATATATATATATATATATACATATACATATATATATATATATATATATATATATA